CGTATAAAACTTTATATTTAATTTAAAAAGTACCTTCTTTAAATCGTATAGTATAAAGCTAATACCTATAAAACTACCCTATATATTCTTCTCCGTTATAAAAGTAAAAAAAGCCTCGCGGAAAATATAAAGAAATTTTAAGTTTATTTACGTAATTAATATATATATATATTAAACCTTCGATTTAGCGGCCGTACGTTTATTTTAGCGGCCTAAAGTAATTAATATTGAGTAGTTGGAGGAGGTAGGAGGAGTATAGAGGTATATAGAGCGTAATAATATTATTTTATTAATAATAGTGTTTAAATTTAATTAAATAGTAATTTTCGTAATTATCGAGGATTAATAACCGATATTTATCCTTTATACGGGACGCTATATAATAATTAAAATATTTAATTTAATTTAGGTTTATCGGATTAATAATTTAATTATTATTAATAATTATAATATATTAAGTAAATAATAAATTATATTTAATATATTAATTAATAAAATAATATTATACGGTTAAAATAATAAAGGATAGGATAGCTTAACCGAGGGTATTAATTCCCTAAATTACTATTATTTATTCGCGGTTATTAAATTAAACTAATTTTATTTTATTAAAGCCGTCCGAGATTATAATTACTATATTTACGAAAATAATATTTATTATAAACTTAATTTCGTTAAAATTATAAATATTATTATTTATAATACTATATTTAGCCTTAGTATTCGGTATAAGCGTAAACCACTCGGTAATAACCTTTAGGTCCTTATATTTAGCCCTTTAATAGTCGTATCTATACGTAAAACGCGTACGGAGCTATAACTAACGTTTAATAAAATTATATACCTAACGTTAACCAATAGGGGGCGCGTCGCGTATGCGTAGCAGTTGGTTGGCTATATCTTCTACGCCACTTAATCTAGGTGGGAATGCGCGTGCAGATAGCTCAAGAACGTACTGAACTATCGTCTTCTCCTCTAGATCCGTTAAATTACGTAAGTTAGCTGGAATATCGCGTCGTGCAGGTTTACCAGCGCGCTGGCGATGGAGGGTAGTATAAGGCACAGAATAGAGCCTCGCTACAGCTTTGAGGCTTAGCTTAGGGTTATTTTTAAGGGCTTCGAGTGCAAGAATAACTTTTGCTTTAACTAGAATCGAAGACATCTTGGTATGGTGGAGGAAATCGATGTTGCAGGTAGAGAGCTATATCGCGTACGAAATCGATCCACTCGCTTGTCCGATCCGCTCGCTTATCAAATACGTTATACCTATTCACAGAGAAAAGCCCCCTGAAAAGCAGTGAGTGAAAACGACTCCTGTGGCTCCAACACAAGCAAATATTCGCGTGCAAGATTGTTGAAGCTCTGCATGCTCCTCAGCGCGTTCATGCAACACTGAAACTCGGCATTGATGCCGTCCTTGACTTCCATCCCTTGATAACATGAAGACCCTGGCGGCGTAAGTGCTTGCATGTTCTCCACCACACGGTTTGGATGTGCCATGAGCCTTGACGCGGCCAAAAAGATGGCGAGCGGGAGGAAAATGTGGGCCTATCTCGTGGAAGATGCATTAGTTTGTGTTCTAATGATGCCATGTGCTCGAGAAAAAGTGTGTCTCACCTTGAAATAGGGGATGTGCTCGTGGGCTTTGACCAGTCTCGCGATCTCCCTGGCCGCGTGCATGGCTTGGTTCTGGCACTCTACCACGTTGGGTCGACATGATTCCTCGTGGGATGTGGACTCGACAATCTGGCACATGTAGATTTTGACGGCGTGCGCCATCATGGTGGAAAAGAACAGCATCGGCTCTGCTGCTGAGATGACTGGGTGGTTGACCATCAACGAATTCAAAGACGAGCTCAGCGTGTTTTTGACCCATTCGTGACGCATCCAGAACTCCAGTGATGCGCTTGCATATGTCGGTTGCATTCGTTGGGCCTGGCATTGCGATACTGCACGACCAAATATCGTGAGCAAAATGGCAGACTCGGCCAGAGGCGACAAGAGGCTGTGGTCCCCGGATGCAAAGACCTCTTCCAGAAACCGCTCTTGAACGGGACTGCCGCCCTGAAAGGCGAGGTCTGAAGACGGGAGTCTGGTACAGATCTGGCATGATGTTATTAGTTGCGGTTCGGAGATGAGGATCACCAAGATGCGCAGGGATGGTGACGGAACCTACCATTTCTTCGATCAGCGTCAACGGCCTACGGTTTCTGATACACAGAAGCCGATCCAGATAATATGCAACCCAGAATGTTCTACGCTTTTCCTCCATTGAAACAGCGTCGTCGCATTCAGCCGCATTCTCCGAAATATCAACCTCGTGGAGCCGTGCAAGTTGGACAAGCCTAAAGGCCCTGCCGGCCGTGATCCAGGCACGCCGGTAGTTGCACCGTGCGAACTCGTAGAAGGCAAGCAGAAGCCACGCTTGCACTTGTTCCACCCGCACCGTGTTCATGTCGTCCTCGTGGAGGTCCAGGTTTTCGAGCATATGGCGGGTTTCCTTGTAGAAGAGATCCCGCGAACTTTCAAACTGCGACGAAAACGACATTGCCAATGTCCACATGGCATACTGCAGACACAGCAAGTAATTCGGCCCATCCATCATAGAAATCTGCCGAGATCTGGCAAAATACCGCGACTGGCTGAAGATGGGCACATTTGGGTGGACCCGGTCGAAATACAGCTGGTCACTGCAACACGTTCAGGTCAGGAGCCACATCGAAGAAGTATCTGGGGGAAATAGTAAGAACATACAGATCCGCTCGCATCAGATCATCGACAAATGCGCATCTCGGTGGGGATTGGGGAGAGGGAGGGAACTGGAAAGTCGAGAAGCCCATCGGAAGGGAGCTAGGTGTCATGGGAGACATGGCGATATGGATATCGCTCTCCCAGGAAGGCCTCCTTTGACATGATGGTGACGGAAACTGCGAAAAGTCCTGATCCGAGGCCGAGCTTGCAGATGGCATTTCGGGCACGGGCGGGGCTTCTGAAAACTGAGTAGCGAGGGTCAACGCTTCTTCGGTGGGATCAAGACTGAGGCGTCGTTCCAGAGCCACTATTGAGCACAGTCAGCATCATGTGCAAGAAGCGACATGGCGATGGGGAGGGGGAGGCCATAGTACACACCAACACGATTTAAACACACACCAACCTGACTTCGAAGGTTTTTGAGTTCGCCCTTCTTGGGGCCCCGTGGTCGTCGTTGGGTGTTGATTTCACACACGAGACCGCCATCTTTGCAAGTCCCACAAGGACTTTTCCTGTCACCTGGGGTTTTGGTCAGTACAAAACGGAAACGTTGGATTGGTGTATATGAATTCTTACATCGTACTTTACGCTTCTGGCATGCCTCGCAGGCGGATCCGGGGAGCTGCCGTGGTGCCCGGTCGGTCGTGCCAACTGCACTTCTTCTGCGACGGGCAGCAGTCATGGTGAGCACCGAGTGGATGGTAGGCTGGCAGTGTCTATGCACGGGCAAAGATGGAGAGAATAGATGGGCTGTAGAAGCAAGACGGCCGGTGTCTGGTGAGCAAGTGCAATCTGAACTGTGCAAGAAGTGGGAGGGGAACTGCCTTGACAGATGCAGGGTTCTCTAGGCCCAGTTATACAAGGTCGACGGGTGTGGATGTCACAGACTGGTACGAGAGATCTTCTCCTTCCCACTCTGGACAGATGCAGGTTCCCGACTCCAAGATGGGTTGCACCTGCCTGCCCTGCCGTAATCATACCTACATACGGTACATACATATCGGCGATGACGGCCGACCAAAGGGCAGAGCAGAGAGCGGTGTATCAATGTATCGAAAGACTAGCCATGGTATCCAGCCACCGATCTCCCTCTGGACCCGTTCTCAACACTCCACTCCCGCGAACCCATCGGAGCAAGTATTTATCCCCACAGCTAGGTACACTATTCTCTGGTGGGCAGCTTGAGGGGGACAGAAAGGGGCGTGAGGGGGG